GAGGTGGAGGCCTCTGTTTTCAGTTGTCCCCCTCCTGAATTTTGCCTGAAACTCTCAGACTGAAGAAGTCTCTTGGAGGAGAGACGAAACGTTTCATTAAAGAAGAACCCGTCCAGAAGACCTATACAATTTTTTACTTTTTTAATTTTTTACCTGGATTACTGAGATGCATCAGGACATGGTGTACAGATAGATTTTTTTGTAAGACGTACAACCGCTGTAAATTGGTTTTGTATGTACTCCCCCAAACTTCCACACAACATGTTAAATGTGTTACAATGAGTGTGTTATATAGATTTATAGTCCAGGACGAAACTAWTTTTTCTTATAACAGCAACACTTTTGGCTATTTTAGATTTTACCAGGCTGATCTGTGGTTTCCAGCTGAAGTTATCATCTAATATGATACTATATAATTTATTTCATGTACATGATCTAAATCAACACTTTCAATTGATCGTTTAATTGGATTATTTTCTTGTTTTTTATCGTTTCCGAATATCATGAATTTTGTTTTATCTAAATTTACAGATAATTTATTGTTTTTGAGCCAATGCTGTAATTTTTCTATTTCTGTGTAAACCATCGCAATTTATATCTACTCATATTTATGTAATTAAGTGTTTTAATGATTTGGCCGATTAATCGATTAATCTAAAAGATAATCGACAGATTAATCGGTTATTAAAATAAAGGTTAGTTGCAGCCCTACATGTGAGTTTTGCTGAAGGGACCGAAGACCCCCCTCACCTGGAGGACCTGCTGTCAGAGTGGGCGTGGCCTCTCTCCCTGTCGTCCTTCTTCCTCAGGTTCCCGTCGATCCCCCTCTTCCTGCACTGGGACCATGGCGAGGGGCCGTCTCCTCTGTGAGGGACAGATCACTGACGTTAGTCTGAGCTCGTCCTGTAACTGGAGGGTTGCCGGTTTGAATCCCTGCCCTGACAATGAAAAACACTAAAACACTGAACTCTAACCGTCTCTCCTCGTTAATAAGAACATGACATTTGGGTCAGGAGTGTTTCCCTGCTGAAACCAGCCAGGCTTGGTTTCCTGTTGGACTCTTTTAGTGGACACAGGTCAGGGTGAAGCCTCCAGGTCTGATGACGTCCTAACTGAGTCAGTCTGTCATCAGAACCGACCAGAACACGGTTCGGTTCTAAGGCTGGAGTCAGACCTCAGGTCGGAACCAGGTGAGTCCATGTTAGAACAGATAAACACGTCATTAGTTTCATTCAGACCAACAACAAACTGAGTGCAGAGAAAACTTCTCCCGCCATCTGCTTCCGCTTCCGGACCGATCAGAGGCGGGAAAACCCGAACAGTCACCCTTAATTCTCTTCTATTTACTAAATACACACACACATATTTATACACACATGGTGTATACAGCTATATACACACATGGTGTATACAGATATATACACACACAGTGTACACAGATACACACACACACTGGTTGGGTTTAACATTTAAAAGCTGGTTTTAACCGCCAACCAGAGGCCTCCACTCAAACGTGAAGCAGCTTTTATTGTTGAACAGGAAACCTACCTGTGCTGCTCCTCCAGCCGCTCGGTTCGGCTGCTCGTGGTTCTGTAAGACATGACGAGTTTATTAAGTGTGGAACCGAACCGGACGAACACCTGCTGCTGCTGTGAGATCCAAACAGAACCGCGAACTGAACAAAGACCCGCGGCTACAAACAATCCAACTGTCACGTGACTTCTCTTCTTCCTGCTTTAATGGCGGGTTGATACGAGCACGCTTTACCGCCACCTGCTGGCCGGGAGAGGGAACCTGCTGTTTACTGCTTCAGAGGACTTTACCACCACCTGGTGTACCTGCACCTGTGTTATTTACTGTTGGGAGGTACAGGTATGTAAACTCTTTACCTGTTGCACAGGTCTATAAAGTACTTGAACAAAAAAACTAAGTAAAAGTAAAATTACATGAACAAAATATTACTTTGGTAAAACTGATGAGAAAAATACTCAAATAAAAGTCATAAAACTGTTCACAAAAATTGTGATATTGGGATTTACTGTATATTGATGAAATATTTAAGTTTGCACCTAAATATTTAACTTGCTAGCTAAATATTTAAGTTGCAACCTAAATATTTAAGTTAAATATTTAGGTAGCTAGCTAAATATTTAGGTTGCAAATTAAATATTTAGGTAGCTACCTAAATATTTAAGTTGCAACCTAAATATTTAAGTTAAATATTTAGGTAGCTAGCTAAATATTTAAGTTTCAAGCTAAACATTTAAGTTAAATATTTAGGTAGCTAGCTAAATATTTAAGTTTCAAGCTAAATANTATTTATTTAGTTATAATGTAAATACAATAAAAATTAAACCAAGATTTATAATAATTACCATTTTGATCCATACATTAGTAATGTCTGAATGGGCCTTGTATCACTTTATGTTCAATAAATTGGGCCCCGAGTTCTGATGTAGAGAAGGTCTGAAAACTGCTGGATCTGGTGATAAAGTCACTAAGTCAACAACACTGCTCTGCTCTGCTCACTCCCACGTCTCATGACCTGTCAATCACAGCCTGAGTGGTTATAAAATATTGATTTAACATGTGAGATTATTATCACAAATGTGATTAATGGTTCAGTCTAGTAGAAATACTTGATTAATGGTTGAGTCTAGTAGAAATACTTGATTAATGGTTGAGTCTAGTAGAAATACTTGATTAATGGTTGAGTCTAGTAGAAATACTTGATTAATG